CTACAGGGGAGGGCAGGTACTGCTACCTTAGCCCAGGTCAGAACCGATCTAGAGAAAGAACTGGAAGGGATCAAAGAGGCCGGGACCTGGAAAGGGGAGAGAATCATTACCTCCAAACAGGGACCAAGTATTCATGTGAAAGGAACCACAAAAGACATTCTTAACTTTTGTGCTAACAACTACCTGGGACTTTCAGTCAGTTTCTTAATGGTTTTCTGAGAAACACTTTACTTGTTCGATTATTTATCATTACCTGTAGTAGGTTACTATTAACTCATTATGTTAGCAGAGTCATAAGTAAAAATAATAAATTAGTAAGATTTGAATTTAATATTACTCCTGAAAATTCAATTTTCAGAGTCACCCTGAAGTTATTGAGGCTGGAAAGAAAGCTTTGGACACACATGGAGCAGGGCTGAGTTCTGTCCGATTTATCTGCGGCACCATTGTAAAGTATTTTTATTCCATTTGGAAGTGTTGCTTAAAGAAGACTTGCTACATAAATAATTCATCATAAGACCAAAAATTAAAGAAAAATAGAGAAGTTAGGGTCATCCAATGAAAGGTCAAGTTCATTTGAATTGGCATAAAATGTTTGTGTCAAAGATTAGTTTTTTCATTATCATTTAAGATACTGAATATATTGTAAAAGTGGAATACCTTGAAGTGGTTTTGATTCCACTATATTCGCTATCAAAGAATTTTCAGTGAACATTAAGTCATATTGAATATTCTTGACATGTCAATGTAGCATTCATATATTTAAAACACGCTCTACACTTTATAAAACCCATTTTCCAACTGTAATAGTAAAAATGTAAATCATTAAAAATCCTTCAGCAATCCTATTTTAATAACAATGGCTTGTAAAAGTTGGTTAATGGATACATTTATTAAAATAATTTACGATAGCTTTCTTTCTTTCTATTAAAAGAATATCTTTTTAAAATTGCAAATACAATGTATTAGCAATGAGAAATTCTTTGACTGTGAAATTAAAACCAATGTGAAATGTACTGTAGAGATAATCATGAAATATGGAATTAAAGACATTTACAGTATTCAGTCAAGTGACTGTGTTTTATACTTGTCTTCTTTCATGATTTCAGGATCTTCATAAAGAATTGGAGGAGAAGATTGCCAAGTTCCATGGAAAGGAAGATTCTATTTTATATGCCAGCTGCTTTGATGCCAACGCTGGCCTGTTTGAGGTTCTACTAGGAACAGAGGATGCCGTGATATCAGACGAACTTAACCACGCCTCCATCATTGATGGGATTAGACTGTGTAAAGCGAAGAGACATCGTTACCAGCACAGAAATATGGCAGGTACGTAAAGACATTTAAAAAAGAAGAGAATTTAGTCTCGATTTGTTTAACATTCTGTTGAGGTCAAAGAAATAAGGCGTCAACAAATCTGTTCATAACAGCTAGAGCATAGGTATTTTAATTCAGCATTTGTCATCCCCTTCTCTGATAGTAGGGCACTGATTTGAGTTTTATCTACTGGTAAAGCCATAATAAAAAAATTCCTAGATTTTCATCCCCACCCGCCCCGATTTTTTACCCCTGCCTCAATTTTTTTTATTTCTGATTTTCTTTGTCTAAATTCTGATCTGGATCGGTATTCAACTACCATTCAACTTTCATTTTTAATCCTGCAAATGTTGGCATGATTTTGACAGCTGATAAGATGGTAACTGACATAATATGTATTAAACAGGATCATTGGTTGTGAAAGATTGGCGATGATGTGTTGTAAGAGATATGCATATTTTAAGGAACCTCTACTATGACTTTTATTCGTGTATTATAGATATATCTGCACTGATTGATCAGGTCAACAAAAAAACTGCATAATGGAAAAAATTAAAAATATAAAATAAAATTTGCCCGCCCGGCTCGATTTTTGAAAAAATTCAGATGAGAATCTTGGTATTTTTTTATTATGGCCTAACAGCAATTCAGTATTTGAAATTTTATGTTTTAAAGCTCCCTACAAATTTGAAACACATCGAGCAAGAACTAAAGTTTGTATATCTAGACTTGTTGATGGTTCCAGTAAGATATGGTACATAGTGTAATATATCATTTTCTGTGCCAAAACTGAAATATGAAAAACAGGATGTGTTTGTGAAACACTGATACCCCCGTATGGCAGCATAAGGTGAAGTTTAAAGTTTCTCAAATGCAAGTCAAACTCCAAGGTCCAGAGATAAAAAATGTTGTTATCGAAAGAAAGGACTTGTGTCAGTGGATATACCTGGTAAATTTGAAAGCACAAGCACCAACCATTCAAAAGTTATCCTCAAGGTTAATGTTTTCTGAAAGTGGGTCAAACTCCAAGGTCAAAGGGTCAGAATTAATGGTATGCAAGGGAAGACCTTCTCATAAGAAAAACACAGGCAAAATATATTATGGCAAAAGTCAAAGTTTTTCATAAGTAGAACAAACTCAAAGGTCTAGGTCAAAAGGCTAAAATTGTTGGTATCCAAAGAAAGGTCTTGTCACAAGGAATATACCTGTGAAATTTGAATGCCCTAGTGCTAACTGTTCAAAAGTTATGGCCAAGGTTAAAATTGGGTAAATTTTTGAAAAAGTGGGTCAAACTCCAAGGGCAAGAGGTCAAATATGCTGGTACCCAAAGGAAGGTCTTGTCACAAGGAATACTCATGTAAAATATGAAAGCCAAAAATATAGCTCCAACCAGTCAAAAGTTATGGGCACTGTCAATGTTTTTTTCGACAAACAGACAGACAGACAGACGGACAGGGCAAAAACCATATACCCCCGAATCTTCAATTACAGGGGCATAAAAATGTTACCTCTACTGCATATAGAAAGAGAATCTTATATAGAGGGAAAGTGTATGTTGTCTACCTATCCCTTTGTTTGTTTACAATTTTCCAAAATGTTTTTCTTCCTACAATATTTATCTGTATATTGAAAAAAAAAATGGACATAATATTAAACTACATCAAGATACATCATTCTATTCATTGGTTTTCAATTTGGATAAATGAAGCTTCTGTGCTAACTAACAATGGAGTATTATGTCATTTTTTTTTTCAAAATGGTGCTCATTTTTCAGTTTTAATATGATTTCAATTGAACATGGTACACTGAGACTAAATGAAGATAATTCGTTCTCTGTAATCAAGATAACTGATTTTTATGCCCCCGTAATCGAAGATTCGGGGGCATATAGTTTTTGTCCTGTCCATCTATCTGTCAGTCTGTTTATCTGTTTTTCTGCAAAAACGTTAACGTGGACATAACTTTTGATTGGTTGGACCTATGGCTTTCATATTTCACATGGGTGTTCCTTGTGAAAGGCCTTTCTTTTGGTACCAACATAATTGACCTCTTGACCTTGGAGTTTGACCCGTTTTTGCAAAATTTTACCACACTTTAACCTTGGTTATAACTTTTGAATGTTGGTGATAGGGCTTTCATACTTCACATGTGTATTCCTTATGATAAGACTTTCCTTGGATACAAACATTTTTGACATCTTGACCTTGACCTTTTAGTTTGACATACTTTTGAAAAACTTTAACCTTGGCCATAACTTTTGAATGGCTGGTACTAGGGCTTTCATATTTCTCATGTGTATTCCTTGTGACAAGACCTCTCCTTGGGTATCAACAATTTTGACCCTTTAACCTTTGAGTTCGACCTACTTTTGAAAAACTTTAACCTTGGCCATAACTTTTGAACGTTTGGTACTAGGGCTTTCATTTTTCACAAGTGTATTCCTTGTGATAAGACTTTCCCTTGAGTACCAACAATTTTGACCTTGACCTTTGAGTTTGTCCTACTTTTGAAAAACTTTAACCTTGGACATAGCTTTGTGAATAGTTTGTACTAGGGCTTTCATATTTCACAGGTATATTGCTTGTGATGAGACCTTTCCTTGGATACAAACATTTTTGACTTTTTGACCTTGACCTTTGAGTTTGACCTACTTTTGAAAAACTTCAACCTTGGCTATAACTTTTGAACAGTTGGTGCTAGGGCTTTCATATTTCACATGTGTTTTCCTTGTGGCATGAACTTCCCTTGGGTATCAACGATTTTGATTTGTTTACCTTGACCTTTGAGTTTGAATTGCATTTGAGAAACTTTAACTTTCACCATGAGCTGCCATTCTGGGGCATAAGTGTTTCACAAACACATCTTGTTTGATTTTGAATAATGGTTAAACACATAATGATTGGTTGGATTCTGTCAAAGTGCCACATGTACTCCATTTAAAGTTTTGATCTCATTTAAAAAAAATGTATACAGGAAGACATCAAGATACATAATTCTGTTTTTTTTTTTTTTTTTTTTTTTTTAGATTTTTGATTTTGGTGAATGACACTACATGTATTATGCTTTGTTTCTACAAATGAAACAATCTGTTAAATTCTTTTAAAATGCTACTTCTCTAACCATCTTACCATTTTGATTTCAATAAAACCTTCACAGTGTATTTAGATGAATTATGCTTAAATGAATAATCTGTTAACCTCTTTCAAAATGTGACTCCTATTTTTATCTGGTTACATAATTCTGTAAATGTAAAACTCATACTCCTCACCCCCCCCCCCCCCCCCCAAAAAAAAAAAAGTCCAAATGCAATTCTTAAACTGCTATTAGTTTAAATTAAAGCCAAAGTGTGATAAGAGGCTTCTGATTTTCTCTCTCTCTCTCTCTCTCTTTAAGAGAATTACAGCATGCCAAGTCATCAAACTTGGAACCCCATTTCCTCTCAAAAATGTGAATAGGCATTACCTTATCTGAGTGATTGCTTGCAATTTAATATTTTGATTTTGTGAGCACCAAGGGCAGCCTATTGAAGTCTCCTCTGCAGCACATTGTATTTTCTGTTGATTCCTTGAATGGTGATGAAAAATGAAAGCTGGAAATCATGAATTCACAACATGAAAATCGAAGTGTTCTGATATTTCAAATGATAATTTTTCAACAATTCACAAAAAAATCAATGATGGAGACAAAGCTAACTCAATAAACACAGATCTTTGCAAAATTTCCAACTCTCTAGAAAATCTGCTGAGGAAGGTGGTTATAGTTCAGAATAATTCTTCTAATAAGATTTAATTAAGACAATAATTTTATGCTCCCTAAAGTAGTTTGCTTTGGTTAATTCAAGGCCTATGGGTTCCAGCTAATAATTTAGAAGCACAGTCATGTCAGTGAATTAAAGTTATTTATCTATATTCACAATAAAATGTCAAATTTCACGATTTGTCTCTATGAGTGTTACGGTACTCATGAGCTTTAGGAAAGCAATCCAGAGCCATGATCATTAATAAGATCAGAGACATGATTATCCCCCCTGTGTAACCAATGTAAGCAGAGGAAGGTCGGGGGTCCTCGGCACAGGTCAGCTTTCTTACCGTCGCGGAGAGAGTAGATATGTTAACAGATAGATATTGTTGGATGTTCTTCACTTTGATTTCAATGTCATTTATTCCGTAGTTTGTATAACAGACCTCTACACATGGACACTGAGTTTCGCCATTGCCCATAGAGACAGTTCTGTGGGCAGCTGAGGAAACTGAGGTCGGTGGTTCACCTGTTGTTGATAGGGCCTCAGTTTCACTGTCTGTTGTTGATAAGGCCTCGGTTTGACTGATTGTTGTTGATAAGGCCTCAGTTTCAATTTCTGTCATGATTACAGTTGTGGGGGAAGCAGATTCAGTTGTCAAGGAGGAACAGTCTATTGGTGTGCTTGAAATACGAACAGACATCTTGCATACAGTATAACTGCCATTGTTACAACTTTTAACTACAGGTGATGGGCTGACTCCATTAGCTATGTAACATGTTTTGGGGTTACTTCCAGCATCCAGCCAGAAATCTTTAGATCTTGCCAAGTTGATAACAAAAGCCCTTTCCTCTAGATCAGTGGGCATAACAAGAGAAGATTCATATTTGTTTCCAGAACAGATGGTGTATGAAACAAGATAGCTGACATTTTGTAATTCAACCCAGTAACATCCAATATGTTTGGTTCCATTACAGAATTCTACCCAGTCCTGGGGACAATTTCCAGCTAAGCATACACCAAAACAACACAGAAAAATTCCCCAAAATCCATTCATTGTCTTTGACTCATGCTGATCTGTATTTCAAATGTTTGCTTGAAAGATCACACAGAGATAGTGATAGCACAGCTGCAAATGGTCTTTTGGTCAGAAAAGTCAATAAAGATGGAGATTTGTATAGAAAGAAACATTGAGTCCATGAGAGGCAGGAAGCATGGGAAAAGAATGCTCCTTGTTTAGTCTAAATTCACAAAAAATACAGAAAGGAAAATCAATTTATAAGGCTGCTATGATATATTACTAGTAATGGATTTCTGTTTGGTTTACTTGTCAAGTGTTTATAAATGATGATTTTTTTAAAAGGCTGATTTAAGAGGACACAATAAATGAATGGTAGGTTTTATGGGAAAAGTTGTACAGTATTGTTCCATTAAGAGATTTCGAAAAAAAAAAAAAGAAAAAGAAAAAATATATGGAAAATAAATATTTAACTTGATTTTCCTAAATGTACTTTATATTTAAGAGAGGAACACAGAAAATGACATCTTCAACAATTAATAGCAATGAATAAACATCAATATAGTGAAGTTACCATGGTGATGATAGAATTGAAGTGTCTTTATTTAGAGAAGACTCCTGAAAACAGAGGTTTAATTACATGTACTGTGAAATAACTAATGTATATGGGGGTTAGTTTACATTGTTTTTATGGTATTAAGAGTCCCACAAATTTATGTCCACCATGAAATACTAAAATTTTGTCCTTCAAACAGAAAATCAAAACCCAAGGAACCAATACTTTTTGTTTGTTTGTTGTTTAACATTCCTCTTGAGAATTTTTCACTCATATGATGGAGATGCCACCACTTACCGATGGAGGGCTGCAAATTTATACCTGTACTCGGCACTCAGGGCCATTGAGCAGTGAGGGATCTTTTTCATGCTAATTTAACACCTACTGCGACACGGGACCTTGGTTTATACGGTCTCATCCAAAGGACCAGTCTCCGAGTCCTGCAGTGGGATTGGAACCCGCAACATAAGGATCAACTCCTTATTCCGTGACTCTAGAGCAGACGCTCTTAACCATTGCGCCATGCGGGGGACCCATTATTTTTTCTCAAATCACAAAAATTTAACCCCACAAAAATAAGGGATTTTTACAATACTGCAAGGGTCCTTTTTTCCATGGGGTCATAATTCCACAGAATTATAAGTTCTGTTCAATTCCCAGGTAGAAAATTGTGCGAATTTTTTGGAATTGGCATTGTATGTCTTAAATGCACTTTAAGTATGGTGTGACCTATTTCAAAGTAATGCTTGTAGCATTGTTTACATAGCATAAATTAATCCCATGCAGAAAAGAGAATGTCTACAGTACAGTTGAACTTTGATATCTTGAACACAGATAAATTGAATCATAGATACTAGCTGTTATGAAGCCTTCTATCAGTTGTTTTTGTGTTTGACAAATGCTGCATAAGAAGCACCTTATGTCAAGAAATAAAGAGTTTATAGCATTTGGCCTTAAATTCATTAGGTTTTAGCTTTTCCAAAAAAAAAAATGCATTTTTATACATATTGGTAAATCTTCCTCACGAAGCCCTGTACCATTATCCTCAAGGAAGCCAATTTTTGCCTCATTGGCATCTCTTCGTTTAGTCTTTACATTCTACCAACCAAGGCATCAAATGTTAATGCAAATGTATTAGATTTGCATTTTATGCATTAATGTGAAATCAATTTTGAAAGCATTTATATAATCAACTATCCACTCATATCGAAAGTTCCAAATGGAAATCAAGCTGGTTTGATCAATAGTGTCCTGTAATTTGAATATGAGGTCAAAGATTTATTGAAACTTAATTTATCAATTGTATGATTAACAACAGCCATTTTGCAATTTTTTTTTTACCAACAGTGAGCACAATTCAGGAATAACTAAAATCCATGCAGGTGGTAGACTTTAAATGTGCATCATCTGTGATTGTTTTCAATTCAAGCTCTGTAGTAGTTGAATACCAGAAGCATATAGATAGGGAGTGTCTGTCTGTGTCAATTTCAATTTGTCTGTCTGTAGACCTGTTGAAGCCCAGAAGAGTGCATGTCTGTATGTTTGTCAACAATTTTACATCCCCAAAATGAAAATTCTTCATTTGCTCTGTCCATTATGGTAAGACTTTTTGTCCATATCCCACTGGAGCCACCACCAAGTTACAAACATTATTTCTTGCCTGATATCTTTCAAATTTCCAAGGAGCTATAAGACATAAAATTTTGTAAGCTGTATTGTAAAACCTTGAAATTCAAGTCTGTTGTGACCTACTATCAGAGAAGAGGATGACAAATGCTGAATAAAGATAGATTGACTAAATTGTATTCAGGGATGTAACAAGTCATTGATTTTTATAGCATATCCAGTTTGATTGTACTGTAGATCTAGAGGACCAGCTGATTGCTGCTAAAGACTGTAAGAAGAAGCTAATAGCCACAGACGGGGTGTTCAGCATGGACGGAAATGTAGCCCCACTGCCGTTAGTGTCACTATATATTTGCACTTGCTTCGCGGTTTATAAAGCATAAACTGCCCCAACCCAGTTTATACTGTATAAACTGGGTAGCTATTAAATTCATTCCTTAAGTGAAATTGTTCACCCCTTACACTTCATTATAAATATGTTTTACCTTATGTCCATAATGTATTGTTCATAATGCATTAAAAATACAAAAACCAGTTCTTTTATAATTAAATTACTTTTTTTCTCACAGAGATATATGTAACCTGGCTGATAAATACAATGCCATGGTTTTTATTGATGAATGTCACGGGACTGGATTTTTTGGACCAACTGGAAGGTAAGGGAAGACATTCTTTTCTTGCCTCTTACAGGCAAAAAGTCCCATGTTGTGAAATAAGATACAGTCAAACCTTGTTATCTCAAACTCAAGGGGACCAAGAAAAAAATTCGAGATATCTGGGGATTCGAGATTTCAAGGGTAAAATACTAAAAGAATAAGTCGTTGGGACTTGCAAAGTCACTTTGACATATCCATGGTATTTGAGATATCAGTGTTCGAGATAACGAAGTTCAGTTGTATTTCAATCATACCAAGTGTTTCCATAGAAGATATGATCCCACCAACAAATGGTGGAATGAAGAGCTTTGTTATTTCTTAAGTTAATTCAATATAAGTAATAAATTTTTGAAATTTCAACAGAGGTACTGATGAACATTTTGGGGTCAGTGATAGAATAGACATCATTAATTCTACCCTGGGCAAGGCTCTAGGGGGAGCTGCTGGTTAGTATGAGTCATTGTTATTTAGGTTTCTTAAACATCATAAAGTTTTATGAAATTTATATTTAAACATAATGAAGTCATATTTAGGACAATGTATATTGAAATCTGTCTTTTTTTTTTTGTGTATACTAGGTGGTTACACGGCTGGTCCTAAGGAACTTACTTCATTGTTACGTCAGAGGTCACGACCTTATTTGTTCTCCAATGCCCTTCCTCCACCAGTTGTTGCATGTGCCAGTAAGGTAAAATATGGCTTACATTGACTTTGTAGTAATGTTAAATTTTTTGAAACTGGAACACAAACTTTCTTCCAGTCATGCCATTATAAATTCAAAGATGGTAATTTTGGATCAGCATACTCAAAAACACTTCCAGTTTTTCTTGTGATTTTTTTTAAACTAATTCTGTCTATAGCTGAGTTTAAATGAGTGTTCTTCCAGACATTGTCAACATACCATAAAATAACGATGAATGAGAAACACTAGGATAAATTAAATTGTGAATGTACCACAGATTGTTACAAATAAGTTCCATAAACAGTGCAACTTAGTAAAGGGTTTTTCTCAAACTCTCGTTCCTTAATTTTTCAAATTTCAAGAGACCCGAGGCTTGCTTACGAGCACTGCATGGTTATTGGACCTGTTTCTTACATTATACAAACATGGACTTGAGTGTTTTGGTGAAATAAATATGGCACTGAAGAATTTGTCTTTCTCCTTAGTATGTACATCCTTGGTAATAATATTACCTTGATGATCTGTTGAAATGAAATATACAAGGGAAAAGTTTAGAGAATGAAAAATTAGTAAAAGATGTTTACAAACATACACTGTACATGCATTTTATGTCATCATTGGCATGAATTTGGAGAATAAATCCTGGAAAAGCAACCAGTTAGAATCATTTTAGGTAGTGATGAAACACAGTTGGTAATTGGAGAAAAGTAAGTAAATCTCTGAACAGTTTGTCTGATCAACAGCTTGAGGCTAGATCAAAGTTCTTGAACATACTATGAACATTCACAAAAGTTAAGCATTTGGATGTGACTGGCTAAGAATACATGTACTATATAAATATATAATATATACATGTATAATAGTATTTTTATGCCCCCGTAATCAAAGATCCGTCTGTCTACCTGTTTGTCCGCTAACACTTTTAACATTGCCCTTAACTTTTGATTGGTTGGAGCTATGGTTTTTCATATTTCTTGTGTATTTATGGTGACAAGACCTTTCCTTGGGTACCAACACATTTTTTACCTCTTGACATTGACCTTGGAGTTTGACCCACTTTTGCAAAATTTTTCCAAACTTTAACCTTGATCCTAAATTTTGAACAGTTGGTTTACTTCACATGTGTATTTCTTGTGACAAGACCTTCCCTTCGGTACCAACAATTTTGACCCTTTGACCTTGAACTTGGAGTTCAACCTACTTTTGAAAAACTCTAACCTTGATCATAACTTTTGAATAATTGGTGCTAAGGTTGTCATATTTCATATGTGTATTCCTTGTAACAACTAGTTCCCTTGTGTTCCAATAATTTTGACCCTTTTACGTTGACTTTGGCATTTGACCTACTAATTTGAAAAACCTTGACCATAACTTTTGAGTGGTTGGTGCTAGAGCTTTCATATTTCACATGTGTATTTCTTGTGACAAGACCTTCACTTGGATACCACAGGTTTTTTTTCTTTTTATCATTGACCTTGGAGTTTGAGCTACTTTTGAAAAACTTTAACTTTGGCAACAACTTTTAAATGGTTGGTGCTAGGGCTTTCATGTTGCATGTGTGTATTCCTTGTGACAA